CCAAGGGGCCATTTTTACCTTTCCTTTAGAGCAGGGGTGTCAAACTGTCGGCCTGCGTGTCGGATGTGTCGTGACGAAACCGCGCCCATCCCATTGCCGGCAATGAGAAAAAAGTCACGATACGTCACAACACATCACGTGATGTTGCAAGTTTGACACCCCTGCTTTAGAGTAACTTCAACATCTGGAGAGGTCAGCATTTGGTAATAGTAACTTACAGTGCTTTTTTTTGTAAAAAAAAAAAAAGGTTCCGGAACTCACAGATGTTATACAATCCGCCTTGCCTAACCTACAAGGTTCCATCCAAAAAAGATACTGAAACTCTGTTTTGGGTATTCTCTGACAAAAAAACAAAAAAAGCCCTGATAACTTAGTTTTATAAAGTAATTTTAGTTGTGAAATAATAAATAGAAATTTTGTCAGTAGGGGCTGTTCTACAATAAAGCTCCAAGTGACCTTCTGAATTTACCAGGGGTGAAAGCACAGGAGCAAAAGCAAGGTGCTTTCAGGGTAGAACAGCTGGATCTGGATCCCTTGTCCCTACTAGTTCTAATTCAGGCTCAAGCACCCCAAACTGAATCCCTTAACTAAACCACTCTGGACCCTGGGCAGTTATATTTCCTTCTTTGTTCTCATTTATCCTGGTGAAATGCTCCCAGGATCTGTCCAGACCAAGAGGTCTCCTTTCCTTATTGGTTTTTTTTTTTTGGGGGGAGGAGGGGAAAGAAAAATAAATAAATAATGAAGTGAATGAAACCCAGCCATTATGACACGAGTTGCAATCTTTGTGATCTCAGGGTGCTTTGGAAACCACAGATGGAGTCAGGGAGGCTGCAATCAGAGTGCTGCAGGAGCTAAATCTAATTATGTTCTTCAATTTGCATAATTACCTATGCAAGCAGAAGCATTACGCTGAGCTGCAGGACCGAACCATTACAAAACTGTATTCAATCTCACACAAGAAGTTGCACAAGCCCTCAAATGTTATCCTATTATCCATGGTTATTTGTAGCTTTCCACTATTGCTTCTGAAAAAAGAAACATGGAGTGTAGCACTTTAGCAAACACCATGAACAAAATAGACAAGTCCAGGCCGAAGCCTAAATCAGCCTTCCTAGTTTGGTCTCCAGCAGATAAACGGGGCAGCTGTCATTTGTATCCTTCTGATTGAGGATAGTAGGAGTTGTAGCCTGATCCTTCTAAAGGCTTGGGGAGGATTAAGTTAATAAAAGTGAGGCAAAAGAAGGAAGAAAGTTGCCCTCAAGCATAATTTAAATCAAGGAATCGGGATCAAGAACCAGGAGAGTAAAATAGTTGTAGTTTGCCATCAAGATGCATTTTTCTAGTAAGCCATGGACATTGGTCCTAACAGGCTTTGGTTTCACTACTTAAATTGTTGGTAGAGTCCTGAAGGTTTATTTTCAATTGGGCTCCGGGCTGTGACATGCAGGAACAGAAATATACTGTCAAATGCAGCTGTTATTCTACTGCCTTTTAAAATGACATTGTAATCTATAAATCTTAATGGATAGCTTCTTTTACAGCTACTACCAAAAAAAAAGCTGCTTGCAATGAATGAATCTTTTTAACTGTCCACTTTTAATTTTTTTTTCAAGCCTTATTATCGCTAGTAAATCTATGTGGCGGTTTTGTGTCTCCCCACCCCATCTCATCCGATCTTATTGCATCCAGTAAATCTTTTTATTCCTTTTTGTACCTTCGAGTCACATGATTCTACATATACAGATGAGGAGTCATTGTTCACCAAATCTTTTTCTATTGGGTTAATGTCTCCAGCCTCACTTGGATCATCCATCACTTAAGCATTATTGCCCTTGAACCATAGTAGTTGCTTGCCTCTTTATTTTAACATGCATGAATAAATAGCCTTGGTCTGTCAGCTTTGCGACAGATGCCAAGAAGCCCAGAGCTCTGTTGCCCCAGTATGTAAGTCACTTTCTCAAACATTACAGATGTGTTCCAGATGCGATTTACAGAGTTGGCAAAAAAAGGAGAAATGCCTTTAAAAAACCTCATTGTCATGTTCTAATATCAATACACATTGGAAAACAGTGTATTTAAAAATGTGTACTTAAAGTTCAGATTTAGACTTACTTAATTTACTTATTTTGTGAATGTTTTTATTGTTTTAATATCTTTTAAATTGTTTTATTTGTTTTAAAAATTTAGAATGGTAAGCCACCCAGAGTCACCTGGTTGTTTGGGCAACTATAGAAATTGAATGAGTGAGCGAATGAATGAATGTAAGAGAAAATAGATAAAGTTAATTTTAATGATGGAATTTTATGATTCTACAGGTGACACTGATTCACACTTTAAACAAGTTACCTCAGCATTTTATTTTTTATCACACACACACACACACACAGAGAGAGAGAGAGAGAGAGAGAGAGAGAGATCTCAGGCTATAATGAAGTTCTCCGTACAATAGAATATGGGAAGATCTTTCCTACAACTTTCCAAAAATTAAATTTCTATGTGACAGAATTTTTTGTTTAACAAGTATTATCAAGCTCCTTTGGAATTACAGTAGAACTTTTTTTAAGGATCTTTTTAGCTTCTTACCACACATCTGTTCTTCACTCTGAAGCCACTCTGGCTGCCCACAACATTTATTTTGAGAAAACTCAATGGATGAATTCTTTCCTGATGCCTTTACTTTACATGGGATTTAAATGAAGTATGGGAAGCAAGAAGGACGGATATAGTAGAGAAATGCTTATACAGTGAAAGAGAAGGTATTAGCTTACATGCATACTCATCCCTCTTGATAATCTTAAAACTAAATCCAAGAATTAATTATTTAATTGAATTGGATTGATCTTTTTTTTTGCATTTTGTATATTTATGAAGCAGTAGGTGTGAACTTAAATGGACTCCAGAAAATGGTAGAGGACAGGAAGGCCTAGAGGAATGTTGTCCATGAGGTCATGATGGGTCAGACACGACTTCACAACTAACAACAGCAACAACAAACGTTTATAGTATGATATTTATATAGTTTTATCTTTTTAATATTGTAAGCCATTCAGAGTCACCCTGTTGTAAGATGGGCAGCCAAATAAATAAATAAGAACATACCACTGCACCAGTGGGAATGCAACTGAAATGCTCTGCTTTGAAAGAAAGGTGAACTCTTCTTTTTCATCAGGGTGAATGAGAACTGATAGGAAAAAGGGGGGCAATTTTTCTCACTAGTTAATTTAGAAATTTTAATATAATATTCTTTTTCAGAAGAAAGAATTCCTGCTGGATAACTTCCTGTTGGTATGTCATAGGTGGCTCAGGAAAGGTTTCTGCTTCCCACATAATTCTGGAAGAAAGTCAAGGAGGAAGAATAGCCTACAGTAATTGGATGAGGGAAAGTGACTGCTAGGAAAATATGTATGGGGTAAGTTTAATATGGATTCTTTGGAATTTGCCATGTCCCTATTTCAAATTTATCACCCAGAGTGAAAGAAATAATTAAATAGATTTACTTTAGAGGTAGGAAACCTCTACAATGAATTCATATCTCAGGCACAATGTTTGAGCTTGGGTTTAACTGAATAAGTTTTTTTAATTCATTAGCAGGATTGTCACATTCTGCTGCATTTCATTTGATTTTGCATTTGTTCTGACTGTTTGATTCTAGCAGGAGCAAACTGCATATAGTGGCTCATTCCAAAGTCTAAAATAATGGTAGTTTAGAATGATATGTGAATCCATCCCATTGAAATTCCTCCATAATGTTGATTTGAGAATGGTTAATAACAAAAGGTAGGCAAAATGATGTTTTGTGCACTGAGAAGAAAAACACTAGCTGCCAGAGGGGAAAGCAAGACCTTCAGAAGGTAAACATTTGGAAAAAGAATTTTAAAGAAGACATAGTTGGTTATCCAGCAGCTAAAACAAACAAATAAACAAATTCCACTTTTTGTTTCCAAGTTTCACTTGCATCAATTCAGCAAACATCTTTTAGATGATTTTTCAGTTGTTAGAAATGAGGGCTAAAATTAGTTATACACCAAAGACTTTTTAATGAATTAATTCATGCTGTCTTTGCAGAAAACATATGGCCAGGCCAAGATCCAGATGGATTTGGAATGCTGAGGTAGTAAGTTACAATCTTTCTGCCAGAATGACATCCCAATTACAAAGAGTAAATTACCAGGTAGAACAGGTTGCAGAAGTCCCTGTTTGGGAAAAGAGATGTGACATGCCCCTGCCATGGTTAATATATTCTGTCCCCCCTTCCCAAATAGCATCATATGGGAAAAAAAGTAATGCCATTTCTTTCACATTCATCCCATGGGTTCATGAAGCATTTTCTGTTCATTGGAAACCTTTTAAAATGAGCTGTTTATCTTTGATAGCATAATTTTTTGTTACTGTATATACTCATGGATAAACTGTGAATTGTAGATGCCAAAATACACCCCCCAAGTGGGTAATCTTATCCACAAACGGGCTTACCAGCGAGTATATACAGTTGAGTTTTCCCTCAGCTTTTTAAAAGTACCTGTATATCCCACATATACTTGTGGATAAGCCTATCTGTAGATAAGCAAACCCCAAAGATAAGCCAATTGTAAAAATTAAAACATACAAACATTTTGAGGGTTGGCTTGTCTGCAAGTATTGCATTTTCTTGCTATTTTGATTTAAAAATTGAGGGTTTGCTTATCTGCAAGTATATATAGTATGTTCTCCACTAAGGACTGGATCTACCAGGCAGGTAGGCAGGCATGCTACAACTGATGAAAGCTACAAAGTGCACAAAGCAGCAGCTAGTTGGCAGGATCAATTGAGGCTAAGATTTCAAGCATGTTCCACCATGGACAGCTCCCCACCCAATCTGAGCATACAGGTGTGTAAATTTGCCATTTATGAACAGGAGAAACTTGACACAAATCTCAGTTTATGTGGTGGCAACTTCCTCCCAGTTGGTTAATGATGGAAAACAAGTCCAGAGGACACAGAGTTATTATTAAACATTTTACGTTTATTAATATTTATTAAACAATATGTAGTTCACTTCTGACTTTGTATATTTTCATGAATCTATCCATTGTGGTTTGTTTATCATGGTTTATGATTTAATATATGAACTTTTAAATAATTTTTTATAATCTCTGTATAATATTTTTGGAAATTGAGTGATGATATAGCATAACTGATGTTTCAGAAATATCTGGATGACCAAAACTCATGATTGATAAATTGTTGTATTTTATTTTGTATACATAGCATTATTCTTCTATTTTTCTCTCACAACAGCCCTTTATATTTAGCTCATGGTGGAAGATAATGACTGGCTCAAAATCTTCCAAAACTTTGTGGCTGAGTGAGGATTTGCGTTTAGGTCTTCCCTGATCAGCCCCCTAACCCACACACTACAATGGCCTTCTAATAATAATCTGCTTTAGCAAGATCATTCTAGTATTGCCATCAAGCATGTCTTAGTCTGTAGGATTTGATGATGGGCTTCTAAGAGAAAGCAATGCAAAATAAAGCAACCATACATATTCTCCTATGATCTAATTCAGCCACATAGTCTTCTTGCTAATTTTATTTCTTTACAGAATTCACATGTCAAATTCATGCGGTGTTTTCTAGATAATGAGAATGTGCCTGTCTAGGGGAAGACAGAAAACAAGTCTAATAAAATGTCACTTTAACTCTGGTAATTTTCAGACCCATATTAATTTATTACAACCTCTAGGGGACATTTGGTTTCAGAGTTATTAGATCCAACACTTGCTTGCTTTATTGAAAGATGACGAACTGAAAAACAAAATAGAAAACCCAACAACCCCCTATACACAAGCACACAAATCTCTAGTGTTTGGGGAAAAAAGTTTTCATAACCATACTAATTTACCATAAACATAACAGAAAATGTGAATGTAATTAAATTGAAATATTATAAGAAATTATTTTTCTGACTATCATTTTTGCAAGTAATGTCATTGTGCAAATAATCATCTTAATTGTAGAACATACTAAAGATGAAATGTTTCTTTCCAAAAACTAAGTTCTTTTGATTATTTATTCAGTTTCTATACCCACCCAACTCAACTAAGTGACTCTGGGTGGTTTTGGAAGCATAGTGAATCAGTTGTAACATAAACTATACCTTTCTCTTTGAATTTATACTAGAGATTTTTAATCAGAAAAACTCTTTAGCACATTCAGGTTAAGAAGATACTAAAACTGCCCTACCCCTTTCTGGATAACTTGGTATACACGCTTCTTACTAAATTCGCTAAATCTGACTTCAGTTAATCTCTAAAAAATTCAATCTATTGTTAATATGAGGTCATGATCTCTTCAACTTCAATGAACATTTTCCCTAGTAATAAATTAGTTTGACTAAATGTAGCTTGATAGCTAAAATTGCCAATCAAATAACTTCATGTATATCCATTGTTTCTGATGGTTAAGATACCAACATTGATCAAAGGATTTGGATAAACACATTAAGACCCTTTGAAATTCTAGAGACATTGCTACATAAAGAGTAAATTCAGTCTATGATATTTTGCATGCTATTATGGTATTGTTAAAGAGAAATGTTATATGGAGGAGAAATTGAACATACACAGCAGCCAATATCAGATTATATATTTATCACATATGTACTTTACCATAGATTTCTTACACTATATACTTGTTTAAGGTGGCAGGAGTCATAATCTCATTTTATTATCAGATAGTAATGCAAGGTCTCCATTGGATGTCACAGTTGAGTCCAGGTCTCCTGTCAAATCTAGCCTTCTATCTTAGACAGGGATGCAGCATTGTGGCCTTCCAAATATTGTTCAACTCCCATCAGCCTTAGTCAGTACTACTTATGGTTAGGATAAGGACAGCTGCTGACACATGATGTATAGGAGGCTATAGATGTCCACAAATGAGCAGGGGATTTTAAGATTCTAAATGAAAATTGTACTTTCAGTATAGCAAATACCAATGCATACAGTAAATGTCTCAGACTTCAGCCAGAATTCCACTTTCTTTTTTTCCTGCAGTTCTGTTCTAAGCATCTGTATTGTTCTTTACTAGATGTTTCCCCATGTTAACCCGATCTCTTGAAAAATGTCAGTGTTTCACAATTTTGAAAACATTGCTTTGGAAAAGATGATGGCTTATTGCTGGAAGACCAATGTAAGAGGAAGGATGGTAATTTTGCACAAGTGGTTGACATCATTGCATGGTAGGAGGTTATGGGTGCCAAAAACTAAAACAAAAAAACATCCATCTGTCAAATGCTTAAATCTTCAAGCAAAACTACCCCTTAATATATCAAAATATTGGTATTCTTTCTATATGTTGCTAGAAATCCCATAAGATCTCATATAAAATACCATGATGGTGATGATGATGATGATGATGATAATTTAACTAATTCCATTTTCAATTATCTCTAATGGTCCTTCATTTCATTTGTTTGTTTGCTGTATCCTGTCTTAGCTGTTCATGCCTCTCTGCCCTACCAACTCACCAAACCTGCTAGGCTTCCTGCACAACAGTCTGACCACAAATTTTGTTTTCTTTCCAAAGTCTTGAGATGTTTTATTTCTGCAGAACAAGGTAAGGAGATTCTTGCTAGGATCTGCATAATTTGCTGGGAACTGATCTCCAGATGTTTCAGAAAGATATGATGTTTTATGGAAAGAAAGAAGCTCCTTTATGGAAAGGTTGATAATAATAAGGCAGATACTTCTGAGACATGCCTTGCTGTGTAATGTATATGATCCACTTGGCTATATCTGTATTGTACATCTGTAGCTGCATTAAATTCAGACCAGCATAAATGTATGTGCTAAACAAACAAAGAAATAAATAACAGTAACACCTTCCAATCTCATTATACTATTTCTTTGCTTTCTTCTTCCCACGGCCAGCACGTTTTATCTTCTCTTCTACTTCTATTTTCTCTTCAACAACAAGCTCTTGCTCTTCTTCACATTCCTTAATATTGGTAGTATAAATACTGAATATGGAGAAAAATGAAAGAGAAGTTTGCATTGTAGATTGGTTGGCAAAGTCACAAATAATCACAAAATTAATAAGTGCTCCAGTTTCATCTTTCTCATATGGACACCAGCATCCATTTAAAGACCAAACTCTGTATGGAACTTAGTGGAGCTTTGTATTAGGTACCAGAGTTTCTTCTCCTGATCATTCCAGGGATCAATCCACTGACATGCAAAGATTTTACAACATCAAGGGGGGAAAGAAACCACATTAAAATAATATGTATTATATCCGAGTATTAAAGAGGAAGGGAAGGGAGAAAAGAAGGAAATGAAGGAAACTCTGAAATTCCCTAAATCTATGGATATTGTAAAATGACAACTAAGACATAAATACAAGCTACAGTTTCACAATATTTTTTCAAAAAATAAATAAATAAACAGAAATTTTGTTTTAAAAACAGAGAGAAAATTAGAAAAATAGATAAGCAATGACCAGTTAAATGTTTTTAAAATAGAAGCTGGCTGGATTAAATTTCAGTTAACAAGTGATAATAATGCTCTTTAAAGCTTATGAAAAGCCAATGTTGTCCTATTTGATAGCCTCTTTCAATAGATGCCTGCCCTCCTCTTATGCTTGCTTTTTTTGTTCTCAACCTGCCACCTTGTAGCAAAAACCTGAAGACAAGTCTCAGCAGCAAAATGCATTATGAAAAGCAGGTAGATACAAATTTAATTTGCATAATTTATTATGAATGCATAACCTCAGTTTTGCTAGAAAGTGCAAGTGACACTATATTCAAAGGGCACTCAGCAGGTTTAAGTGGCAAGTTCTATATGTTTAGCTTGGAAAAAAATCCATTAATTTAGTAGAATTGATTTCTGAGAATCTAATTATGGATACAGTATGTTCCAGATTATTATACTTTCTAAAGCAATTTTTAGATCAGGAATGATCAAGCTTTCAGGTACCACTGCACTATATTACTTAAGCATTAAAATATTTTTGAAGATTACTGCATCACTTATTTCTATGAAAAATTCTGAGGGAGGCAAATGGACTTGTTCTGAACTTCCCATAACTTCTTGTGGCCATACTCCTGGAAACTTTTCAAGTAGTATTTCATATGTAACATAAACATTTAGTGTTTCAAATTGGAATGTTTTGATTCAGTATCCTAAACAAAGGATATTCTCATTGCCATGAACACTATTCACCATTCACCTATTCAGTTTAGTTTTAGTTTTATGGATATTTTTATTATTCATTATTTATTTATAAATCTTATATGCCACCCATCTCACTGTTTGAGGTGACAGTATAAGAAGTGGCAGAAAAGGCTCTTCTCTTAGACCAGTGGTTCTCAACCTGTGGGTCGGGACCCCATTTGGGGTCAAACGACCATTTCACGGGGGTCGCCAAACAACGCAGTCTGCCATTTTTTCCCCCTTTTCCTTAGCTGTGCCACTCCCTTTTATTCTATTGGCTTTTGAAAGCCAATAGAATAGACTTTCTTGAATAGAGTCTAATTCTATTGGCTTTCAAAAGCCAGTAGGAATTGTCCAGGCTGTCTCTGCCCTGCTGAGCCCGCCAAAAGTCCCATTCTCGACTTACGACCGGTTGAGTAGTCCTCGACTTATGACCGGTTGGGTGTCGCAGCATTAAAAAGGTTGAGAACCACTGTCTTAGACCCTGCCAGTTGAAATTCCATACCGGATGGGGTCTGCAGTGGGCCCCTTCTGTCAAAATGAGTGGGGAGGACCACTGCCCTTGGGGAAAGGTGGTTCCTCAGATATCCTGGACTCATGCCATAGAGCAGGGTGGGGAACAGTGACATTTTATGACTTGTGGACTTCAACTCCCAGAATTTGTGAGGTAGGAATAAACATGGCTGTCTCAGGAATTCTGGGAGTTGAAGTCCACAAGTCATAAAAATGTCATCGTTCTCCCCCTCTGCCACAGAGGGTTTTAAAAGCGATGATCAACACCTTGAATCGAATCTGGATATTTTTTTTATGATTCTGAATGACTCTATAAAGAATTGGGCAGCATATACATTTAAAAACATATACATACACATTAAAATAAAATAAAATAATAAAATAAAATAATAAAATAAAATAAAATATTTTTTCTTTGAAAGTACATCCAGCCTATTGGTTTCAAAAAAGATGGGTCAATTTTGGGGGAAGAAATTCTCAGACAGGATGTGAATTTAAATGACTGTTTTTACTTAGCATCTGCTCTACAATGCATGCTATATTGACTCTGTACAAGGAGATTTCTCAGGAAAGGCAGTATTTGATTCAGCTTGCTACAATTTGGTCACTGGTTATGGATTCAAAGAAACACACCTCTGGGAATGTGATGCATCTTATCTTCTTTTTAGCCACTTGAATGATTGCTGTTCGATCCCTCTAGTTAGTACGTTGAAAAGATTCACCCTTTATCCTGTCCCCTAAACAACCTCAACAATTTGCCAACTATGGCAGTCCTGTTTACTGAAACACCACATATACATTCAGTATTAAATACATTGATTGGATTTTGTCATCTGTACTGTGATCTTCAGATTCTCTGTATCTAATTGTCAGTTTCATTGGAATTAAACTGAAATGACTCACCAGAAAAGTCAGGAAGGACAAACAAGGAAAAGATAGATAAGGAAAAAAAATATGGAAAGTTGCTTAAAAAAAAAAAAACCTAAGAAAATTCGACCCCTGATTTACTTTTTCAACAAAGATAAACCATTTAGCTCTATACTGGCCCTAAATTCATTTCTTCCAAAAAGCATGGAAATATCTCTAAATCAATCTGATAAAACCATGGTTTGAAGGCAGAAAGCTTTCAAAAAGCCCTTTGTAAGCCAAGTAAAGTGGATTTTTTTTTTAAAAAAAGGAATGCCGTAATATCTTCTCAATTGTCATTAATTAAAAGGTAGTAAATAACAACAAAGACAAAAGGGGAGGCTGCTATAAAAATAGTCCACCCACCCACCCCTACACTGTAGAACTAAAGGACCTTTAGAATCCTTTTACATTATAGACTTCAATTTAGGTCCTTTTCTCTTCTCTTCTGTGTAGCGTAGGAAGAGGCAAGCTGATGCATCCAGATATTTTGGGTTATACCTTCCAAATCCTTTTCCACTGCACTTGCTGCAGGTGCCAATAGGAGTCAAGGTCTAAAATAATCTGGAGATTATCTGATTACCTGCCTTGTCTAATGTGATGCTTGTTCTACTTTTTTTTACTTTTTTTTAAAAGCCAATTCAAAACCTACTGGCTTGTTCAAAAAAAAAAACAGATGAAATGTGCATGTTTTTTCCTAGCACCAGAGGTTTCAAGAGGTAGATGGAGCAAAAAAAAAGTGTTCCTGAAAACCACTGCAGCCCATCAAAATACCATATACTGAACTAGAAAGACAATAGGCTTCTTGCTATCAAGAAACCTATATTCATAAAAATCTCTCAATCTTTTTAGTTAGTCACTATGTTTATATTATATATTTATCTATCAATATTATGTATTGATAAATTTATAAGCCACTTCAGTCCAGATTAGTCTCAGCAGTATACAAAATCCGTGGCCGCAGCCAATACCATAATAACAGCTAATTTGCCATGCTATTTAATCACACTGACCTTTCTATACTTTGGTAAGAGGGTTTCTTCGGAGGTTCAGCAATGGGACTGGAGAAAAAAAAAGAAATCTCTTTTGAGGAACGTGTAAAGTCATTTTGTTCCACCCATTATACATATATGCAATGAACTGCTCAAACGCTGATTACGTATCTTACCTTAAAACAAATAGTGCAAACTAAGAATACATAAACAAATCAGCTTGGATTGCAGTGTGACAGAGTGGTTAAGGCAGCAGCACCTTTTGGTTCTTATCATTGGAAAAGGACTGGGACGTACAGCATTACAGCACCCGATGTTCTGGCACCATTATACCCCTTGCCATCCCTGGGGATACCATCGGTTCAAGCCTTTTATTTAGGACTAGGGAGATCTAAATTCAAGTCCACTGTCAACTGTGGACAGTCACTTTAGATCAGACAGCCCAAGCAGCCTCAAAGAAAGGGCAAGGGACAGAAAATGTGCTCACCCCTCCATCCCCATTGTTATGGATACCATAAGTACATATACATCAAGAGGAAGAGAATGAAAACTTTGAACATTAATGCACGTAGGGGTATTTTTGTAGGAAATGATTTAATTGTGCTTTCTTGCTATCAAACTCTTTCACACATAGCCCACCAACATTTTATCAGTTGTAGTATTATATTTATGAAACTTAGAGTCATGTTGCAGCAATGAGAATGCTAGACTGGAATCCCAAATCCAAGGACTTACTTGACTACAGAACACAGTGAGTGACAGATGTCATTTTTCTTAACTTATCCTATCTTATAAAAGTATGAAAACAAATTAAGGTCCTTAGAAGAAAGTTAGCTTATGGGACATTAATATTGTGTTTTATTCCACTCCTATCTCCATTTTATCCTCACAACAATGCTGCAAATTACATTAGATTGAATCACATGAATGCCCACTCAATTCCATAGTTGAGGAATAGAGATTTGAACTCAAACCCAACAACTGAATCACTATCCTACTCTGCACACTCCCATGATAACTTCAGCATTAAATAATATGTATCCATTATTCAAATTACCTGTACTGCTTTTAAGTGCCAAGAGATGCAGAAACCACCTCTACAAAAAGTTGAATAATTTTAGCAGAGCATTTATGAAAGCCCTACCTCACCTGCTAAAGATTTCATGGCTTGATCACTTAATTATTTTTTAATCTGAAAATTCAATTAACACAAGGAGTAGGAAATAGATGATCTACAGTAAAGACTATTTTAATTAGCTAGTGATGAATGATAATACATTGTTGCTTGGTTCCCTTCTATCCCAGAGACAGAAACACAGAACCTGGATTGCTAAGAGTCAAAAGTTTATAACTTCCAAAGAAAATTTCAAGTTTTCTTTAGTTTGGGAATTCTAAAAATCTCACAAACTGTTGACCTGTTTTGTGAAATTCTGAGGGCTTCACATAAAAGTGGATGCAGTTTTCTATCTCATGTGTGAAGATGTGCATGGTATCTGCACACCTGCATCATGACATGGAATTGTATGCTGATGCTTGAAAAGACTGCCAATCCCCAATTTAGAGTCAGAGAATGCAGGAGTTAAAATGAACCTTGGTGATCACTTAGTTCAGGGATCTTCCAACTTGGCCCTTTTATGACTTGTGGACTTCAACTCCCAGAATTCCTCAGCCAGGCACTGGCTGAAAAATTCTGGGAGTTGAAGTCCACAAGTCATAAAAGGGCAAGTTGGAAGACCCCTGACTTAGTTGATGATGGGCCTTTGGCTCAAACCAGCAAAGCATTTTTTTTGCAAAGTTTAGTTACATGTAGTTATGAAATGGGATGGTCATATCCAACAAAGGATATATTTCCTGCAGATGTGAAGGTTGCAGAGCAGGTCAGATTTTTGTTCAGCATATCATTTGTTCAGAAAGTCATTGAAATTTTCTTTTCCAAGCAGATGTGAACACCATAAATAAGGTGGGTTTTTTATTGTTGTTGTTGTTGTTAGGGTGATCTATCCATATCAGCAAACTAGGTGAGCTGCATAGGGCAGCGAGTGAAGTAGAACACCAAATTTTAGGAAAAAAAAACAAATAAAAAAAGCTACAACTTTTGTGGTGATTGGGATACCAATTGCATGGTTTGCTAGGGCAGCTAGCTTAGGGTGGCTACTGCTTCTTTGAATTCATTCAGCTAATTCTGATCAGGGAAAAGTTAACATAGAAACTATTATCTACCATCATTCTAGCCACAGGTTAAAAATACACGGACATAGCAGAATTTTTGGTTATCCTTGTATTTGCTATTTCCCAATTAAAATGGAGACAGTACAGTCAAGACTCTTTTTTCCCTTCAGACCTGTGCCTCTGTGACTGCATTGAATGAATGAAAGTAGAGGGATTGCATCTTGATCTAAAGAGACACCATCAATTTCTTATCCCTGCACAAAATCTAAGGAAGATTTAGTTTACAGTTCGGCCAGATAAGGACCAGAACAAATCCCAGGGGGTCAGCAAAGTAATTCACTCCTATGACCCATCTTTCTCCAAAGCTCGGGGGGCCTTGCTATAGAAAGGAAAATGCCTTTTGCAAAGGCCAGCTTATTGGATGCTTTGTTAAGTGAAGTTATGGCTATAGCAGCAAATACATCCTAGCAATAAAAGCATGGTATTTTGCTCTTTATTCATGTGGTTTTGAGACAGAAGTTGACACAAACATTCAGTTTTGAATTTTACCAGCATGAACTTGGCTCTCGCTGAGCAGGTCATCAACAATAAAAGGAATAAAAGACTCCAGATTTCTCTGTCTGTTTGTACTATAGTGAGATGAATTTGTAAGAGGAAAAAGTATCTTTTTCCTAGTGTTTCTCAGGTTCCTTCACTTTTAACCGGATTTGTATTTTTATGTGTGTTTGTATGTGCACACATCATCATCATCATCATCATCATCATCATGTCTCACCAAGCATTCCTTAACAAAAACACCTATTATTATGAATAAGCCAAAAGGTATCACATGGTATTCAGTCTAATCAGGAATACAGAAGCAAGCTACATCTGTTCAAATATACAAAATCAAACATTCAAGAAAAAGGAATGGCTTTGTTTATATGACAAAGAGCAAATGCCATGATATCTATGGCCATTGTGCATTAAAAAAAAAAAACCTGAAAACTAAAATGCCAGGAACCCTCACTATTTATTAAATTGACATCAAAAAATGAAACATCAAGTCAAGGCCAACCAAAACCTAAGATTTGTAGTCCTTAAAATGTGATCTATTTTTTTATATTAAATATTGAAAGAACCCACCATTCCATACAGACCCTATAATTAAAACTGTTGCTTCTTTCCCTTTTTGACTACAGTAATCTTCTTCCCTGGTCTCCACTTGTTTCTTAGGATTATTTTACTATTTAGAAAATTACTCACTCACTACTCAAAACATGTGACAGTCAGCCTATTTCCTCGCTCTGTTTGGATTCATCAAAACTGAATTTAAAATTCTCCACTTGCTTTTGATTTTAGGCCACTTTTTGCTAATCATCCTCCAAGTTCAAGGTTTAACCGGTGTTTTTAATTCCATTTGAAATGAAGTCTATATTAGTGTTTGACCAGAAGTGCTATCCCCCCCCCAGAAGATATCGACTGCAAGAGATGGAACTATTCCATCTCCCAACAAGAGAGATGTTTTTACCCCTATTTCTCCTTGTCACTTTTCAAAGTGAGACTATTCCGTGCTGTACAGATCTGTTTCAACCAGGAAAGAGAGCTAGGTTCTGCCAGCCATCTGATCTAGTTCTGTTATCCCTGGATAGATGACATGAAGGATGGAGCTCCCTGCCCCTTCACTCTTTTTCTATGCCTGTGACCTATCAGATGGAATGTTTGGGACATGGATTTAATGCTTTTTCTAGACCCACATTCAGAAAACAGTCCAACAGACACATCACAGGTGCAGAGAAGTTCCATGTCTGCCAAATATTAGACAGGCAACAGATGGCTATACCTATTGTTCCAAACACCCAAATACTCACCTAGCTTTCCCCAAATTCACTTTGTTTTTTTGCTGGCAGGCAGTGTTTGATGGGAGGTGAAATATAATGGAATATAGCAATTGCATTCCTGCTCTATATTGAATCAGTAATTACAGCTTGACTTGCTAGCCTCTTTACTATGGCAAGGTGGACTTGGCAACCAGGGCAGCAACTGATATATTGGATCACAGATTGAAAGACAGCATTTTAACCTCATTATCTGGCTTTTCCCCTGTATAGCCACTGTTTGGCATAATACAGTATTTGCAAAACAGAAACATTTCTATCTAGAAAACCCATTTTTTGTCAAAGCTGGATGTGAAAGAATAATGAGTAAGTACTCTAGTAACATGAAACTTAACTCTGTTAATCCATAGTGCTGGATTTACTTTATATTACATTGGAAACTTTCTTGTATCATTCATAATATAGAAACAGTATTGTTACTGTTCTTTGTATTAGAAAGATATATTCTTCACAGAAAAGAAAGTATTAAGGGAAAGATGCATCAAAAAAATTCAACACGACTTGTAAAAATGGAACAACTAAGACGATAAAGTCAGATCCAAGGTTCACGAACCATCAAAGTTTTCCTTAAATACTTTCTTTTCTTGCCTCAAGATAAGCAACAGAGTTTTGCAAGAAAACTAATTTCAAAGGGATAAAGTGAGCACGAAAACTTCATTATAGTAGACTGGGATTATGGCTTTGTCTAATGAAGTGATCAGCAGAGCCTATTATGAAGACCATCTGAACACAGTTAGTTCTCTTGTTAAGGCCCAATGCCATCTTGTCATTTCCTCTTATTTTAGCCTCTTTCTTTTTCATTCTCAGGCATTTGGGAGTGGAAAGGTAAATTAAACCCTTACCTAATTGCAGGTTGCAGTTGTAAAGTATTTACTGGAACTGTTAAATATGCATCATATTTATCCAAGGTGCATCACTGAGCTGAGACATTTAGTTTATTGTGTCAACAAAACAGGCTCAAGTACAGGTAGTCCACAACTTACAGCCATTTGCTTAGTGGCTATTCAAAGTTACAACAACATT